TTTCTATATTTTATTATTTTTTTTACTATTATTTACAAAACAAAAACTTTCTCTAAAGTTTTAACTTTTTCTTTATAAAAAAAAGAAAGCAAAACAAAAATAAGAATAACACTTTACTTTACCATCCATCATCAAGCCATTTTTTCTGATTTAATTCTGCTGACTCTGACAAAGAATGCCCCACACCACTGAAAGGCTTAAACTCTTCAGAGTCATCAGATAACTCCTCTTTTTTTATTTCTTCAGTTGTTCCACCAAAACAAAAACCAATATCCTCTTCTTCATCAGAACTATTGTCTTGTTGGGTTGGTGCATTTTCTACAAAGCCATTGCCATCAAAATCAACTAAAACATCTGTTTCAACAACTGATACAGCTTTTCCCTCTGGCTTACATTCAGCAACTTCCAATTGATATTCTTTATTGTTGAAAGAGATGCTAATTATATCACCTGTTGTGAGGGTAGAATAATTTCTTAATTCCTTTTCCATAACAACACGATAATTTGGAATTTTAAAGAAATCAAAAGTAAGAGGTTTTAATCTAATGAACTTTGCTTTTGGCAGATTGACCGTTTGAAGGTCAATATAATCACCATCAACAAGATTTAATCTTTTCATTAACCATTGAGGTGCAATACACTCACCTTCATTTGCAGTGAATTCTAATACTCCACAATGAGTTATAATGTTATTGTTACGATGCTTATTAACTCTGAAGGTTAATGGATAAACAAGATTTAATGAAGCTACAAATTAGTGTTGATTTGATTGGATAAGAATAAATCCAACAAACCCATTGAAGCAAGGGTTGAAGGTGGAAGAAATATTTTACCACCCAAGTCCATTTGTTTTTGTTTGTTAGGTTGTCTTGAAGCAAAAGAAAAAACACGGTAGGTAAGTCTAAACGTGTCAATACGTCTGTAATACATTTAAATAAGAAAAGAGAGTTCTTTATACTATTTTTTCTTTCTTTTTAAACCAGAACAATATACCTTTAAATTCATTTCAGAACTGGTCAGTACCTTTTAATTTTTTAAGAATCATAGTATCTTTAGTTACCTTTTTACTTTTTTTTGTTATTTTCTTAAATATTGGTTTCTTAATTTCTTTGACATCATCATCACTATTTTCACTAAGAAGATTTTCCTCATCAACATCCACAACTTTTTGTTGAGTTTTTTTCTTTTTAGAACTAGTCTTTTTTGAAACTCTTTTCTTTGTAGATTTTTTCTTTCCTTTTTCTTCAGCCATTTTTCTTTCAACATAGTCATAATCATCTTCATCTAGAGTTAATGTTTCAACGTATTGGAATGCTTCTTCAATAGCTTCGTTCATTTTTTTTGAATGGTCATGTTGAATGATTGTCATTGCTTGTTCAATGTTTTTATTTATATAACATTGAATAATAGTACTTATTGCATAATTATTTTCTTGGTTATTCCCGACTTGTTCAATTACCTTTTCAATAGCCTTAAGAGGAATAGTTTTTGGTGTTTTTAATTTCATTTCTTCAGCGATATATGCTTCTATTTGAGCTGCTCTTCTTCTCGCCAAAAAATCTTCATCCATAAAATCATCATCAAAAAAAACATCATATAAATCGTCATCAACTATTTTTTTATTACTTTTCTTTTCTCGTTTTTGAATTTTCTTTTTTAATTTAATACAATCTCCTTTGTTTACAATGTTTTTCTCAAATTCAAATGCCATTTTTCTTAGATTTGGAATACATCCTAAGCTTTTGTATTCGATTATTATTCTTGCCAATGGTAACATTGTTTTTGAATGTGTGTTAACTTGATCAAAAAAATTTTGAACTTCTTCCCTTATATAATGTTCTACCATTTCCAAATTAGCTGAACCTTCAATCAGCTGACTCATTTGAACAACTTCATAAAAAACTTCTCTAACATTTCTTAATGCAATTTTATTCATATTAATTTTCATTCCATTAATATGAGCAAGTCCAATGAATTTTTCTGCTTTTTCAAATTCACAGATGGATAAAGGAAATGAAGAACCTGTTTGAATGATTTGAACATCAGTTCCTTCTTCTACTTGTGAACAATGTTCATGTCCAAAAACAATTAGATTAAATCTGTCTTTAAGTAATTCTTCAGGGAATGTTGTGAGTGTATTTCTTAATATTCTGTCTTGATGAATGAGAAGAATTTTGAAGACATCACCATCTGGCTCATCAATTTGGACCTGAGATGATGCCCATAGTCTATGCATTTCTTCGTTCTTTTTATAACTCATTCCATATAATGCAATTCGAGTTGTTCCTTTCTGTAATAAAATTGGAGAAAGATGTAATATTGTTTGGTCTGTTTTATTATCAATTTCTGAAATATCTTCTGCTTTACCAATAAAATTAACAAGTCCTGCTGTTTGTAAAATATCTAGTCCAGCAACATATTCTATTCCTGATGGAATATCATGATTTCCATGAATAACGTACATAGGATATTTAATACCTTGATTCATTGAGAACCCATTATCTTCTTGGTTATGTTCGTATGTATAAGCTACATCAAATGATTTTTTTGGTATACCCATTAAATATTTTCGCATTAATTCCATTGTTTTCGTAAGACAATATTTTGATGGATTTTGGTCATCAAAAAAGTCTCCTGAATGAAGAATTAAATCAACATCTTCTTGATTTGCCTGTTGAAGTATCTCTTCAAATGCAAGATAACAATCATCTTTTAAACAATGCGACTTTTCACCTGCACCAAGATGAGTATCAGAACAAATGAGAATTTTGAATGTATTTGATTCGATACTCATTTTTCTTTTTCAGTGAGTTTTGTTTTTAAGAAAAAGAAAAACAATTATTTCTACTATTTTGTGTTATGAGTTTCTTCATTATTAGAGGATTTATGAAGAACTTTTAAAAAGAAAAAAACCTGAACTTATAATTCTGTTTATGGATTCTTCACAAGATTCTCCACAAGACTCTCCACCTATTTCACTTTCAACTGTTCTAAAAGAATATCCACCAAATCCATTAATTATTTTTAAACCAAAACAACGTTTGGATATTATTGCTCATACTGTTAATCGTATGTTTGAAGAACCTGACATAGAAAATAAAATTGATTCTCCACAACGTTTAAAATGGTTCTTAGAAATTTTGGGAGCATCTTATTTACTTGATAAAGGAGCATCTGCATTTGCATTATCCACATTAAAACTTTTTCAACGATGGTTACAAACAGATAACAAACCTGCTCCAATGAAAACGAATTTCAATAAGTATTCAGATTATATACTATATTCCATTTCAATGCTTTTTGACTTTAAAACTAATCCAGACGTACAAATTTCTATTCAATATTTTGGTATTGATATTATAGCTTCAACAGCAAGAATAGTAACTGATGAAGCAACTAAAAGATCATGTGTTCGTTCGTTAATGATTATTGCAGATCATGTTTGTGAATATTGTCCTTATGAAGGAATGACTTACAGAGTATTTAATGCGTTACATGAATGTGTTTTACATACCGAACCAAATGCTATATTAGATATTTTCTTTTTACATTGTAAGAAATGGGGGTTAAACCCTAATGCTGCAACACAATGGTGTGCAACTGCTGTTGCTATTCAAACAGGATATGTTAACTATTTAATTGAAGAACAGAAAACAGTTAAGATAACACACTTACTTTGTAATGGAGAATCTGATATTATTGAATTATCCCCTGAACGTGCACTACAATTTTGGCTTGATTTTTTAAAGGTTGCTGATATTAAAACTGATTCTTGTGATCTTGTATCATTATATGTAGAAGGTTTTTCAGCACTAATGCATCTACTTGCAGATGTTCATGTTGAAAGTAAATCACCACATAGACCTGATGGAAATTCTATTTTCAAATTATATGGAAATTATCTATTTTCTGTGATTATTCGATTAGACCACACAAGATACTCTAAGGCAGTTGCTGAGGCAATAGCTGCCTTAATTAATTTCTTTGCTACGATGATTCGAAGAACCACATTTGAAGAAAAGTATATTTATTATTTGACTATAGCATTAAATAGAACATTAACATCACCAAATAACACAGTAGTATATTCATGCATTTCTAATATCAGTAAACTTCTTAATTATCCAGTAGGAAGTATTGCTCTCTGTCTAGAACCATTACTATCAAGTATTATCAAATTATTAACATCAAAATTCCCTGTAACACCAACCATCTATCATGTATTTATTACTGCATTACATGAGTCACTACTTCCATTTACCTTAGTTGAAAAAGAAAAATTTATTCCAATATATAATAAGATCATTCTAATTCTCGTTAAACTAGATTTGCTTTCACCTGAAAACTTCCCATTACTTTTCGATTTTATTGGAACTTATTTTTCTTTTGTTCTTCCAGTTGATAAAACAACAGTTGATTTTGATGTTGTTGCAATTAGAACTGATAATACAATTGATAAAAAAAGTATACATCACATTGTTTGGGCCATTTTGTATGAGTCAAGTGTTCAATTACCAGCGGCATTAACCAATTCAAAAGAAAGAATTATTAAAGCTATTGTAAATGTATTTAGAGTAATTAAAGAATATATTTGTACAATATATAAGAAAAATGAATTTATTATCCAGACAACTAAAATGTTAATAGCTTTCCTTAATGCAGTTGCTAAACAAGATAATCCTATTTCTATATCATTAATTGTTGAATCAATGCATATATGTACTAGTTATATTGTACTTGTAGATGATATTAAAATAGCAACAGCTTTTATGAAAACAATGGTTTTATTACATAATTTACAGACAGTTAATTTAAAGAAATATGCAACATTTTTCATAAAATTGTATTTGAACTCATTAACCAAGAAAGAAATTTCTGATGAAAATGAGATGGTTCGTTTATTAAAAGAAAATGGTGTTCAAAGTCCAATGAAATATATTCATGTATGCATGCTTAATGATTCATTTATGACAATTATTGATCTTCCATACAAAACAGATGCATTACATACTATTGTTATTCTAAGAGATAGTTATGGAAAAAGAGTTTACTCATTTAAAACAAATAATACTCTTCATTGTAGTAAGTTTGAAAATACGCCATATTGTGATAAACCATATTCAATAATACATAAATGGATCATTGATAAAGCAAGTTCTTCATTTTATGAATATAGTCCTGAACTATCATTAGAAAATATTATTAAGAAAGAAGCGTCTGTAATAATTCCTTCTGACTATTCAACATCTATTTCTATGCCTACTTCGGTTCCTCAAAGAATACTTCCGTCGGCTATTAATCCACTTATTGGAGGACGTATTCTTCATGGAAATTTAAGTGCATTTGGAACAAAAGTATTTTTGCAAACAACAGAACAGTTAATTAAAGATTTAACTCATTTAGACCAAATACCATCTAAAACACGAATTTATATTTATATTCAATGTAACACAACAAAAGATGAATTTTTCTTAAGTTTTATGAAGTCTTTAGGGCAATACAGAATTTTCGATAATTCTCCTGTATTTGTTCGTAGTGACTTTAGGACAGAGTTTATATTTGATTGTCCTCAATTAACTCAATCAACTCCAAGAGAGTTGTACGATTATTATCTCTATTGGAATAAAAAAGACGAACAAATAGAAAAATTAGAATCAAATAGTATTGTTATTCAACCACGAATTGCAGGTTCATTCACAATAACCCATTCATTTTCAAGCCAACTACAAACTTTCATTATTCCATCATATTCATTATCATATTGTATTTACGCAATGCTTATTTTACCTAAACTTAGAGACCCTGATGCATTCTTGCAAAGTGTGGATAATCGTGCAAAGGAAATTAATAGAATTTGTAAAAATAATAGAGAAATGGTTCTTCTCGAATGGATTTTATTCCTTGATCCTGTTGTTAATAAAACAACAAAGTTTAACTGGAATCCTGCCATTGTAAAGAAAGAACGAACAATTCCTTCATTACGTAAATCATCAGATTCTCTTCCTAAATGTCTTGAAACAAAAGTAGAACAACGAAGATCAAAATCAAAAATGGAACAATTTATTGAGAATAATGAAGATATGGCTTCATTATTAATTTCTCCTGATGATAGCCATGGCTCACGTCAAGGAAGTGTTGTTGAAATTCCTGATTCATTATCAAATTCAAAAAATAAATCACCTTCATCAAAATCACCATCTTGTAAATCACCATTATTAACTACCTCTCCTACTTATGAGACTGAAGTTAAATTCTTCTCTAAACCTGATGTTACAAAACAAAGAAAAGTTGCTATTGGGTCAATGAGAAAATCAATGGTATTTCTTCCCCCAGCAGCAACTTCATGTCCTCCTGAACAAGCACGCCAACCTCTTACAAGTGTTGGAAGAAAAACATTTGCTATTGGTTCTCAAAGTGACAACAATATAACAGAACATAGTAAAGATACTGTAAAAATAAAACACCCTTCCTCGTTTGATCCAAGTGCTATTTTAAAACAAGCACAACAAGTAAGAAAAATAGAAAAAGGATGTGATGAAGCAAAAACAGTCAGTGCTCCTCTTCAACAAAGACAGGTCCAACAACCAAATAATAATACTGAACCTAAACGTGAACCTCGGCTTCCACCACAACAAAGCAAAACATTACAACAAAGTAAAACAACTCATGGGTTTGTTGCTAGGTCTCCTTCTATGATTGGAACAAACCCTAAAACCCGGCAAACTTTTACTAACTCAAGAAAGGCTACTGTTTATTTTAAACATGACAATGATTCAAGTCCACGTAATGAACAAACCTAATTTACTCTTTTAATGGTATTTTATTGAAATGAAAAAAACGAAAACAAATAAAAAACAATCAATTCAATCAAATATAAATAAAATAATGCTTTGGAACTAACATAGTTCCATAAAAATTTCATTGCTCATAGGAACAGAACAATTATTTTGTTTCGTTATGAGTGTATCATTTATTATTTTTAATGGGTCTTCATATAATATTAATGCTTTTTCATTAGACTCATTACTACATGAATAAGAGTCATTAACTTGTTCATCGTTTCTATCTGTTGTTGAGTGTTTCCACGAAAATAATGAACTGTCTATTCTTCTTTTTAAATTCATAGAGTAATTAAACTCCTCATTAATTTTTCTCATTTGAGGTTTGTATTGACAATACCTTCTTTTAAGCTCATTAAAGTTGATGTTAGAAGTTGATTGGGAGTTATGCATGTTATTCATGAATGATTTTGTTAAGATTCAATCTTTCTAGTAAACTTACTCAATCTCCATGTCATGCCACGTTATAGTTTAATAAATAATATTTTTTCTTATAATTTTATTATTGGTTCTATTTTTATTATCTTAGGTGATGGGTTTTGTCAGATTCAAGTTTGTTCAATGGATAAATAAAGATTTTTTTGTTTGGGGGGATTTGATTATTTATAGGATATATTGTTCATTAGATAATAGCCATTATTAGTTGTATTTCTAAATAGATTATAAAAATGAGACGTGATTTGATTTGTTATTATGATATATTAACTTATTATTTTTATTTCCATTCTTTTCCATCTTTCAATACTATGATTATTTTAATTATAATTCTTTTACTATTTGTATTAATAAACTAGCTTAAAGTAATATAAAAATTCATTTAAAATATTAAGTCATTTTTATTTCTAATAAATTAGCTTTTCAATATTTTGAGGTGGTAATTTTAAACCATTATACTCAATACAGAAGGTGTTTGTGTTTAATGTATGTTAATTGTTTTTCTTATTTAATAATTAAAACAAAAGACTGTTTTATTGTTTATTATTCTATCTGTGAAAATAACATATAATAGAAAGGATATAAAAACAATGTTGAAATGCTTCTTTATGTAGTTTTCTTCCTATTAATTGAATACATTGTCTTTATTAATTATGCCAATAACAGTTGCATTTTCTATTAACTTTATCTACATTGACTCATTTGTTATTAATGGTAGTTTTATTTAGCTATAGCAAAAAATTCTAATTAAATTATTCATTTGTTTAATGAAAGGTTTAGTCTTGTTCTTCTAAAATGAAATTCATTTTCATGAAACTAGATAATTTGGATATTCTGTTGAGATGTTGTTTTAGTAAAACTTCTTCATACCACATATACCACTTTTTGTAGTTTATTCTAATAAATTAAAACAAGCAACGAGCCTATAAAACAAATTTAAAATAAAACGAAGTTACTTTTTTCATGACTTCAAGTATATCAACAAGTTTTAGAAATAATTAACATAAGACTTTTTATTTCTTAACTTTACAAATAACTATAACGAGTAAAGTTAATTTTAAATAAACTTGCTTCAGTGATTAATTATTTTAATGAAATTAATAGGATTGTAATAAAAATATACTCCAATTAATATTTCAGTTAACTGGTACTGAACTTAAATCAAAAGTTTCAAAGTCATTCAAAATTATGACTTCTGCTTCAGTAAGTTGAGACGTTTGTTGTTCAATATTTACGAATTGTTGTGGGTGTTTGAATCTAACAGAAAAATGGTTGAGTAACAAATAGTCAGCATAAACACTTTCTGCACATTGAGCAGCTATCTTACAATTAGAATGACCCCATTTGGTTTCAAAACTACTTCCAAATGTACATTCATGAACTAAAACATGTACTTTATATAAGAAATTCAAATTTCTTCCACTTGTATCACCTAATACGCAAACCACTAAACCTCTTTGGTCTTTAAAAACAAATCCATGACTTTCAATCTCATGTGGAACTTCTATACAACCCACAGACACACCAGATGATAATGTAATTATTTTATCATGATCTCCTTTTGGTATTTGATGTATTCTTATACTCTCATTAATTGACGATTTTGATATCCGTTTAAACGTTTCTATTAAATCATCTCCTCCTTCAGGTAAATATACATCACAGTCATTTAATATCCAATTAAATAACAAAGCAATAATTCCAGATACATGGTCTGAGTGAAGGTGAGTGATTAATACTAATTCTATATGTTTAACATTAATACCTAGTTTGATTATTGTGTTTAATATTCCCTTGAACTTATTAGTTTCATTTTTCTCAAATTTATAATCTTTGTTAAGGACAAACATCTCCACAATCAATTAAGATAAATCTACCATTTTGCATTTCTATTAAATTTGATGTTGTCTAATGTTAATTAAGTTAGTTAGTTTATTTATTTAAAATAATTCAAACATTTCGATATATAGTGGATTGTCCAGCTGATGTTCCTAATGGAATTAACTTTAACATTATTATTTCAGTTCTTTGGAGTTTTAGTTCTTTCTTTTTTCTGTATAAAGACGATAATTAAAGAATTACTTTTCCATTATTATTGTAATAATAACTCCATTTATTTCAGGTTCAGTAAAAGAGACTTGTTTAAATTCTATTTTAAATTATATGACTTTATATGTTCATTAACAGAAAAAGTAACAAAACAAAAACATTATATTATTTGGAATAATTTGTTAAGAAGAACCATTTATTTACCCATACAAATTATAGATGGTATGGTGTAATTTTAAACAATTTTTAATAAATTAACAAAAAATTGAATAACAAAAATTTTTATTTGTTGAAAAGCATTTATGAAATTTTTTTATCCTTTTTTAGTTTGGAAGAATAGACAAAGAAATATTCTTTTTCAACTTACTTTATTGTTATTGAAAGATTTAAAGATATAAGTGAAGAATTGTCATAAAAACAATAATTTTCTATTTTATTAATTGTTGATAGAGTATTAACTAAAGAATAATAACATGTAAAACAATTCAATTTCATTTGATTTAACTTCTATTGATATTATGTTTCAATATTATATCATATTTTGTATTTCTATATTTTCACATCTACTCTATTCTTCTTTCTTTTTTAAATATGTTAAATATTCTATCTCATACTATATTATTTTTTATGTATTTTTCTATCTTCAAATATTATATTGTTTTTACTATAAATATGAAATATTCAATATTATCAAATAATATTCTTGAATAATGATTCAAAGGAATTGGATTAAATGAAATTATTCCAAACTCTCTTGAAATCTTTAAATTCATATTTCTAAATTAATAAAATCATTAATAACGTCTCAAAATACTTTGATACTAACATCATTTCATACTATCCTAATTTCATTCATTCATTCTTTATTTTATTTCAATTTGAACTTCAAACTTCCATTTCCAATTCAGGAAATACAATAACTGTTTAACAAAATGGTTATTGAGAAATAACAATGTGTATTGTAAAGAAATGCAAACAAGACATACAAAATCTAACATCATATAAAAGAATGAATGTCAATATCAAGAATATACATAACAATAATAATGATAAAAGAAACACAAGGCAAATGGATTAGAAAGAGAAAGACATTAAGAAAAACAAATAAAAAACAAGGTAAATATAATAATAAAGATTACATTCATAACAAATATAAATGGATAACAATAAATGACTTAGAAAAGAAAATAAAAAGAAAATGAAGTGAATAGTAAAAAGGAGAATTTGAAGAAATTCTAAAGAAGTATGAAGGTAAAAGGAAAATATGGTATGATATTCTTCAAGAAGTATATTCCAATAAAAAGAAAAAGATAATTGAAAAAAATTAAGAAGAATTAAAGAAAAAAAAAAGCGGGATTAAAGAAATGAAGCATAAATTAAAAATAAATTAAGAAATTTAAGATGAAAAAGTACAAGAATAATAAATAACACAGAAAACAAAGAAACACAGAAAACAAAGAAGAAAAATAGAAGAAGAAATTAACACACTTCAAAACCAAATGAAGAAATTAGAAGAAGAAACCAAAGAATATCAAATAGAGAATATGGAAGAGGATCAAATTATCTCAGAAGAAATAATAGAAAAAGCACAAAGTACTGGTTAGAAAACGAGAAAGAAAATACAAATAAAAAGAAATAACTACTTGCAATGAAATAAAAAAGATTAATTACTAGATATACCACATTTTATTCTCATTGAGAAGTGATTATTTAATTTTCTTAATTATGTTTTATTATAATTATATTTATTTGATATAGTGTTACAATTATTTTATTCTTCTATTATAGTATCTGAATTGTTTGTGTAAAAAATAAAATCTTTCATATTTTTTATAATGATTGTTCGT